TAGACAAAATGGGCAAGAGCAAGTTTGATCTGGAATCAGACTGCTGCCCTAGAGAAGGTCCCAACAGAAAGCAGTAGAAAGAACATCAGGCAGAAATTTCTACCCAGAATTTCAGGAAATTCTGGCACAAAAGGAGGGTGAGAATGAAAAAAGTATAAACTATGCTCACAAAACCTGATTTTGTGTAAGTGACTATTATTTCCTAGCTCTGGATCCTAGGCAATTTATTTAGTTCTTCTGAGCTTTAGAGTCTCTGAAATTAAATTGTTATTAAATTATATTGAAACACCCCACCACCATACTCACTTCATCACTTTTAATGTTCAAATCAGGATACATTAAAAGATAATAGTAATTTTTCAAAGCTAAAATCCTGTACAAATATTGATTTTGCCCACTATTATGCATAATTATATATGATCATTCACAAGAAGATGTACTTGAATCCAAGAGTCAAGCAAGTGAGGGATCGTATTTCTTGAAAGATATGAGGACTAATCAAGTCTTTAATTATGGAGGAATTGAAATTCTATACAGAAAGCAGAATACATGTGATATGTTAGGACTTAATTTATTAGTACTTGATAAGTCTTGTAATTTAGGATTTAATTAAAAAACAAAAGTCAAAGTAGTAGAATCTAGACATAGAATTAGACCTGGATCATCATTGATTTCAATAACATGTAACCCCTGCCTTATCTTACCCTAATTTTTTTTGTTTTGTTTTTTAATGCCTACTAGTCAAAACCAAGATTGAGTTCAGAATATTTCAAGAGGCTGATCTACAGATGAAAAGAAATGATGCGTTGCAGGCTTGGAGGTAAAGAGAGATATCAGATAGAACCAAGTAGATCTTTCATATCAGCATTTTTAAAACTACTTATTCTGAAAAAGATAGGCTTATAAATCTGAAGAGCTTTTTGAAAGATTCCTATTTCTATATATGGATCACTACCAGGGCATTTCTTGTCATTAATGTAAGGACTCTTGTATAGTATCTTTGTAGTATCTTAGCCGCTGTACAAATCATTACAATGCTAACAGAATACTAATAAGATACCTAGGTTTTTTAAGAAAGCAGAATGATATTAATCACCAATACTGACACCAGAGCATTCTAGTCACATATGATGATAAACACAATTTCAGTTATATTATTTTATTTCCTTTAAAAATAGAAAAACAATTTATTTTACAGTATGTAGTCATGCATCACTTAACAATGAGGATATGTTCTGAGAAGTGCATTATTAGATGATTTCTGTCCTTGTGTGAACATCATAGGATGTGCTTATACAAATTGAAATAGAATGGCTTACTACTCACCTAGATTATATGGCATAGCTCCTCGGCTACACAACTGTGTAACACATTACTATATTGAATACTATAGACAATTTTAACATGATGGTAAATATTTGTGTCTTTAAGCATACCTAAACATAGAAAACAGAATAAAAAATGATAGTTAAAAAATGGTACCCTTCTCTAAAGCATGTATCCTGAATGGAGGACTAGAAGTCATTCTGGGTGAGTCAGTGAATGAATGCGAAATCTAGAATGTTACATTCCCTAGACTTTATAAACATTTAGGCTCTATTAAAATTATTTAAAAAGTTATTATTTTCTCAATATAAAACTAGCTTACTACAAATTATTTTTTATTCTTTTACATGTTTTTTTTCCTTTTGTTTTTCCTTTGGGGATTGAATCCCAAGTGTTGTACGTGCTAGGCAAACACTTTTCCACTGATCTACACTCCCATCTGACTGTAATTTTTTTCTTTATAAACTTTTTAATTTTTTTAAAACTTTTGACACTTTTATAAAAATTATCACTATAAGACACATATTGTATAGCTACAAAAGTATTTTCTTTTTATATCCTTCTATAAGATTTTTCTGAGATTTTCAATTTTAATATTTTTACCTTTTAAACTTTTGTGTTAAAAGCTAAAGCACAAACACATTAGCCTAGGCCTATACAGGGTCAGGCTCATTAGTATCACTGTCTTCTACCTCCATATCTTGTTCTGAGAAACTAAGGTGACTCCATTTTAAAAAATAAATAAATAACAGCAGCTTCTACCTCAAGGCCTGTCCTAAGGAAGGGGGTGTGACTCTTGTCCTTGGAAAAACCCACAGAACACTCCTAAGTACATACCCACCCTGCTGAGTTGTTTTTCTGTAAATAACAGGAGAGGTCTGTGGCACCAGGTGTCCCTAACTCAGTTAGGCTAGGTGAGGACCTATGGCAACCCCCTTAGCAATCTCCAATCTGCATAAGACAGGGAAAGTACCTGGAATGCCAGATGACCCCAAAGTAGTTTGTGGTGGTTGATAACATGCTGGGAAACCATGTAGTTTAGCACGGACACCCCTCGTGGCCTAAACTAATTAGTTCAAACGAACCCCCCTCTTGTACTAGCCAATCACCCTTACCCAACTTGTTCCGGCCAGTGAATGTGCTAATCAATGTTAAGAGTTGTTTGATTTTCCCGCAGTATGGAATGATTTGCTGTGTGATGTTGTGACGCATAGAGTATCCCCCCAAAACCTATAAAATCTCACTGAACACAGGACCGGGACTCACTCCCTGGGACCGCTGCGTCGGGAACGGTTGTGAGTCCAGGCTTGAGCTGCAATAAAGACTCTTGTGTGCTTGCATCGGATTTGGCTCCTGGAGGTCTATTGGGGTCCCAGGAATCTGGCATAACATCAATTGGGGTCCCACGAATCTGGCATAACAGTTCTACTAGAAAGTCTTCAGGGACAATAACATCATCTCCAATTAAGGATTTTGAGAAAACATTAAGAGGACATATACAATTCCTGCAAGCATTTAAGTACTGGATCTGCACTATGACCTTGTATAATCATTTCTCCTGCAAACCTCAATTCCTCAAGGACCTACCTGCATCTCAAGAAGGTGTGACTCTTCAGAAATATGTCCATGCAGTTTGCTTGATTTGTTTCTTTTCATTACAGATTGGTTTATAAGAAGATAATAAACCATGAACATTTCTCTGTGTTCATGAAAATCTTTCTGTGTTGGGTCCATGTTTTCAAAAATTTTAAGAGCCTTGTTAAATTCTGCAAAACTTTTTGCTAAACACTTCATTAAATTTTGAGGTTTTTTTTTTTTTCCTCCAATTTCTTTTTCTCTTGCTTCTTTAGCTGCTCTCTCCTTTCTAGTACTCTGTTCTTTGAACTCTAGCCATCTTGGCCACCATAGATTCCTAGCTCTGCCTCCTTAATCGAGGCAATTATGGAACATGGTCTGGAAGCTTCCTACGCCCTGTTCAAGAAACTATCCAGGAAGCAAGCTGGGGCAGCCATGGTGCTTGCCATATTTATTTTCTTGCTTTCAAGGATTATTGTCCTTTCTGTTTATTGACCAATTACTTGAACCCTCTTATCATATTGTTATGGTTAGGGTATGAAGTCTTCCCCAACAGGTTCTCTGTTAATGCAGGAATAATGCAGAGGTAAAATGATCAAGTTATTAGAGCTGTAACCCAATCAGTTCATTCAGGTTTGAATGTCCTGAGTAGTAACTTTAAGCAGGTGAAGCATGACTGAAGGAGTTAGATCTCTGGAGATGTGCCCTGTAAGAGTTCATCTTCACTGAAGCCCTTTCCTCCCTGCCTCTCTTCCCTCTCTTTCTTCCCCTTTTCTTTCCCCCTCTCTCTCCCCACTCTCCCCTCACCCCTTCCTGATTGCCATGAGTGGAACAGTACTCTTCCACCATACTCTTCCACCACAATGTTCTGCCTCAGGCCAAGAGCAATGGAGTTACCTGATCATGGACTGAACCTCTGAAACTGTAAGATCAAGATAAAAATTTCCTTTTCTATGTTATTTTTATCAGGTATTTTGGTTACAGCAATGAAAAGCTGAGTAATAAGCATATATTTTGTGCATTTAAAAAAATTTTAAGTGAGAGGATAAATCTTTGTTCTCCATCTTGTTGGGAATAGACATCTTAGTTAAGAGACATGTATTTAGGTTTGTTTGTTTTAAAAAAGATGTGTTTGACCTGAACAAAAATGTTTTAAAATCTAGAATAAAATCTAAATTTCATAGTCAAAGCCTTCCACAATGTGCTTTAAATCTGAATTTTAAAATTATTTTCCTGTATCAGGCAGAATAACTAAAAACAACTTATGTTTCTACCTCTTTATTCACAGATTTCCCATGCTGTTAGCACAGCATTGCTTTCCTGGCTACTGTCTTCATATCTTATCCTATATTTTAGTCATTCCTATTTCATATGACCATTTTAATTGTGTTTACCTCATTTTACCAACAAAGATTATAAGCTCTTTTAGGATAGGAATTGTGTATGTCCTCTTAATATGTTTTTTCAAAGGCCTACCATAAAGTCTAAGAAGCAATAGACTCCTCACATACGTTTGTAATTTCTTTAATGGAATGTTGAATAGCCTGGCAGGAGAAGCCTAGAGTTTTATTCATTCTGGTCTTAATCAGCAGTACACAAAATACTTTGTGAAAGTATAAAAATGTGCTATGATGTGGTTTATAAATGGCCATTATATGATATTATAAATTTAGGTGTCCTACTTTTTTAAAAACCAAGACATTGGGGCTGGGATTGTGGCTCAGTGGTAGAGTGCTTGCCTAGTATGTGTAAGGCCCTGGGTTCAATTCTCAGCACAACATAAAAAAGCAAAGGAATTACGGCAGAGCTGAAGGTAAAGCACCTGAAGAAGTAGTTTTCCCCAAAGATGCTTCGAAAGGCAAGAAGAGGGCTGGGATTGTAGCTTAGTGGTAGAGCACTCACCTAGCATGAATGAGGCACTGGGTTCGATCCTCAGCACCACATTAAAACACAAATCAATAAAAAACAAAGGTATTGTGTCCATCTACAACTAAAAAAAAAATATTTAAAAAAAAAGAAAGGCAAGAAGAAAGCTTATCTATGAAAAAACCAAGCATTACTACAAGGAATGTAGACAGATGTATAGAACGGAGATTTGAATGGCTAGGATAGCAAGAAAAGCTGGTAATATCTGTGTACCTGCAGAACCCAAATTGGCATTTGCCATCAGGATCAGAGGTATCGATGTGAGCCCAAAGGTTGATAAGGTGTTAGAACTTCCTCATCTTTGCCAGATTTTCAATGGCACTTTTGTTATGCTTAACAAGACTTCAGTTAACATGCTAAGGATTATAGAGCCATATATTTCATGGAGGTACTCAAACCTGAAGTCAGTGAATGAACTTATCTACAAGTGTGGATATGGCAAAATCAATAAGAAACAAATTGCCTTAACAGATAACACTTCGATTGCTCAATCTCTTGGTAAATATGGAATCATCTGCATGGAGGATCCAATTCAGGAGTTCTACACTGTTGGAAAATGCTTCAAAGAAGCAAATAACTTCCTATGGCACTTCAAATTATCTTCTCCAAAGGTGGAATGAAGAAAACGACCATCTTTTTAGAAGATCGAGTTGCTGGCAACAGGGAAGACCAGATCAATAGGCTTATTAGAAGGAAGAACTAAGGTATCATGGTATTTTTGTTATCTGGTTGGTTAATAAAACAGTACCTGCTCTCAATGTAAAAACAAAACAAAACAAAAATCAAAAACAAACAACAACAACAACAAAAAACAAAGACAGATGGTAAAGCACTTTATATGATTTTACGTTGTGTGTTTTGTGTCCAATCCACAACATACAATTTCTCAGACACCAAGTGTCATAAATGCTGAATTTTTCCACTTTACAGTTCTCTTCTGTGTACTAAGTGGACAGCATATGAAGAATCACCTCTATTTTCACTGACACAAAAACTGAATACTAATTATTCAGTATCTCTGGAACTAAGCCTGAAGCAAGAAGCCAGATCTTTAAGCACATGGCTTTTGGTGCCATACTGTAAGTATTTAAGTACTGGATCTGCACTATGACCATGTGTAATAGTTTCTCCTGCAAACCTCAATTCCTCATGTATAAACAGGGGACAATAATGGTACCTAAGCACACAAAGTTCTGTGTAAAAATGATAATGCTTTTGAACTGAATTAATATATATGTTCATACACCTAAATCAGGCCATTGCTTTTAAGGGCAAAAATTCCTTACCAAACTGTTCAAAACTGATGGCCATGATAAGAGTGCAGAAAATCCCAGGTATCATCCAGTTTTAGTTTATCTTATCTCAACTTGCTTTATCAAGAACATTATTGCAAGATGTTTAAGACCCAAAAAAATTCATCTTATCTCATGTCTATTAGTCTTGCCAGGATATGGCCATTCTTAGAAAATGAATCAAATTCTACTTATTTATGCACTGAACATAATTACAATACTTTTATAATAATTGTTTTTTCATTTATTGAATACTTTTCTGTTCTAAATAATATTCAGAGTACTTTTGTACAGACATTATTTAAAATCAAAATCTTACGATGTACATTATTATGGATTGAAGTTTTGCCACCTCCAAAACTTACCTTCCTAATTCATTGGTGTTTCTCCTGTGACTGACAAGGAGCCAGCTGCTCAATAAACTATCACAAGCTGAACTGACTGGAAAGGAATGAAAATATCATTGTGCATTAACCTCACAATTAAGAGAACAGAAATAGCAAAAGGAAAAGTTGGAATGAGGAAATAAATTTCAGACTTGACAACTTTGTCTTCTTCAGTTAGTGAAGGGTAATCAAAGCTCTACTTAGAAGTATATACTAGCAGCTGCAAAATCAGGTATCTTTAATTTGCATGATTATAATTTTAAAGTGTTCATTGGTAGCATAAATTGATTAATAAAGTACTGCATGGAGAGTTTATTTATTGAAGCATCACTGAATAAGCATCTAGCTTTGTTTGCCCATTTTGTATATTTGTATTCAATTTTGATCACGAGGAAAGATACTGTCTTTCTGAATCATACCCCAGGAATTTTCAGATATTTTGAAATTATAAATGATCAGTTTGATGTGAGATATTTCTTTCCTCTTTTTCGTTACTTCTATACATGATCAAAGAAAAAATTAAGATATTTGTTTGCCTATCTTGTGCTCTTAATTCTAATTGTAGACTATTTCTTTAATAAAAAACATAACTCAAATTTAGAGACATGATTTTCTCAAGAAGTTTACAGTATTTTTAATATACAGAAGACATTGGTGAAATGTATTATGACATCCATCTAGTCCCAAAAGGCAGACAGGCTTATAATCTACATTATAAGCCATGGCTTTGCCTCCATACTTATCTATTATAAATAATATTTATTATATTTATTTGAATGTGTAACCTTACTTAAAATAAGCATTTTACATAAGAGCATCTAAACAGAGGTTACTCCTTTAAACCTACCCACTCATTAAAAAACACCAATTGGCATTAACACTTTTGTCTGTAAACTGTTCTTTTCCAGCATCTTCCTTCTTGGATCATTTTACCAGACTCACAAAATAGTTTCCAGATTGTTGAGACTATTAGGTGTGTAGAGTGAGCAACTGATAAAACTGAGCAGTGGAGAGGAGAAAAAAATCTATGCGGAAGTACTTGGTCACTTCCAGTTATAACAATTTTCCAAGTAGACATCATCTGTTAAAATATCTATGCCACCTAGCTATAGAAGAAAATGATGATTGGAGGTGTTCATATTGTAAGGGAGAGGTTAGGAGGAATAAATGAGCTCTGGAAAAATACTAGAAGTGAGTTTATTCATACATTGTTTATTTATGTCTTTATTAAGTAACATTAAGTTTTTTAAAAGATATATTTTTCCCAAAAATCACTAGTCTCAAAGTATCTCAGTTAATTATTTAGGACTTTTTGTTTTGTTTTGTTTTGCTTTAATTCCAGAAATTGGACCCAGAACCTTGCCCATGCTAGGCTCAGATAGTTATTGTTTTGAATCTCTTGCAGTGATAAAATATTCATTTTATTTATTCTCCAAACTATTGGAAACCCTCAGTTTTGAGCTGGGCACAAGGGCTCCTGGAATTAAGACTGTTTCTAGTGGCCAGGGTAATAAAAGCATCCTTTGCAACTTGGTATAATAAATCGGCTAATGGAATATAAAGAGTGGTGGACAATTTCTGGGGGAAAAAATCCTTAAAGGATATGGTTCTTCTTTTCTCCTTTTTTATTTTTTCCAATTATAAATGGACAAAATGGTTGGATCCGTAACAATTTGAATCATAACTTGATATAAAGAATGTCATCAAGCTAGAAGAAATTTGATCCTTTACACTGGGACATACATGAAAGCCCTGGATTAACTTCTTCCAGACTTCTTAAGAGAAAATAAATTTCTGTGTTAAGTCATTGTTATTTTGGGGGTTTCTGTTTTTAACATGTCCACTTTCAAAGAGAAATTTTGTTATTGTTTTTGTTCCCTTTGGTAGCTAATACAGGAACCATCAAGAATTACTGACTAAATATAACCAAATACAATCCTCCAAAACTGGATGAAAAATCGTAAATTATAAAAAGAAAAGATAAATAATTTAACCATATCAAAGTGTTAAAAATTACCATAAACAAATTCAGAAGATAAAATAAAAGATTTAGTAAATTTAATGAGCTTTAATGACAGACATGGCATTAGGATATAAAATGTACAAAGAACAATTGCATTTGGAAAAAGAAAACAAATATCCCTATAGAACAATAAACAAAATAAATCCAGAACAAACAACTTAGGAAGAACCAATCCAAATGCCTTAAAAGCATTTGAAAAGGTCCTCAAATCTTTTAATAGGGAAATTAAAGTAACAATGAGATATTACTTTTGGACTGTCAAAAATTAAAAAGAATGAGAATGTCTATCACTGTTAGTAATGCAGGAAGAAGAGTAATTTCATGCATGGCTGGTGGCTGATGAAATTATTAGTTGTTACTGGTTTTTTGGAAAACAATTTGGCAACATCAATTAAAATTTTAAATGCATTTTTAAAAAATGTAACATTCCCATTTCTGGAACACTTTTACAAGTAAAAATGGTGAGAAATACGCAAGAATGCTGATTGCAATATTTTTCAAAGTGGCAAACAAAACAAAAAAATAACAACAGAATAACAACAACAAAACTTCTGGAAACTTTAATAGGATAATTGCTGAATAAATTATGATACTATATGATATGGAAAAGCATACAGCCATTAAAATAGTAAATTGAAGTGGTAACTTGATAAGGCAGGTTTTTCAATGAAGTATTTTTGAGTAAGAAAAATTGGAACATAAGGATACACACACACACACACATATATATATAATTGATCCCATTTTATTAAACAACTAACACCAGTGTAAGATGTGTCAATATGTTTACCTAAACATAAAAACATAGATAAAAATTTTGAAAATTCATTCTAAATTGTTAACCAAGGGCTGGGTATGTAGTTCTGTGGTTGAGTACTTGACATATGCAAGATCCTGAATTTGATCCCCAGCATATCTCTCTCTCTCTCTCTCTCTCTCTCTCTCACACACACACACACACACACACACACACACACACACACACAAATAAATAAATAAATAAATAAATAAACAAACACTTGTTAACCAGGATTAGATATGGGGTGGCTAAAAGCAAGAGGGATGTTTTAAGTGGAAGGATAGAAGAATGAAGACCTGATATGGGTTATGGCAACAGAAAAAAGGTAAGCCAAGAAAAAACAAGTTTTAGAATGTGTTTGACTGATTTATATGTAAAATTAATTATGTTTTATATATACATGTTTGTAGACATATACTTAATTCTAATCCTAATTTTATATCAAGAAATACCAGCTTTTTTTTGGTACCAGGGATTGAACCCAGGTGCGCTTAACCACTGAGTGATATGCTCAATCCCTTTTTTATTTTTCATTTTGAGACAAGGTCTTGCTAAGTTGCTTAGGGCCTTGCCAAGTTGCTGAAGCTTACCTCAAATTTAAAATCTTCTTGCTTCAACGTCCCAAGTTGCTGGGATTACCAGCATGCACCACCATGCTCGGCAATATCACCATCTTGTTACATAAAAATATGTTGTAGGAAGAGTAGAAAATACAAAATATTTTTTAAATTCATAATTCCATATATATGTGTGTATGTGGGTATTCCCACAGATACTGTTTTGCAATTCATTCTTAAGTTTACAAACATCTTTAATAATTCTCAGAAGCATATGATCTTACATTATAACAAATATTAAACTATTGCTTCTTTAGTCACATATCAAGTTTTTTCACAAATGTTCTCATTCTTAAATCCCAATGAAAATTGAGAAGGGAAGAAGATGAACACCATGGAAATGAGAGGGTTTGAATGCATTGTTCTTTACTTCATCATAAATCTTTGGCAAATCTGTATGGAAATCATCCTCTTTTTCTTTCCAGCATGTAATATATTATAACATCTTCTATGATATCAACCCTTCTATCTTAGGAAGAAGAAAGAATGACTATTAAGAATAT